ATATCGTATCGTGACCCCTCTGTCATGATATGTATCGTATCGCCCAATTCGTGCCAATACACAGCCCTAATTGATGATCAGGTCCCGTTTGTTAATGAGAACTTGACTATAATAAAATAAATTTTATTGTTTTAATTTTACCACACCTACTCTTTAACTCAGGACACTTATAGCCACTAACTACACTGTGGGCAAGACATCAAAAGACTGGAACTCAGTGGGAGGTGAGCTGACCTTCGGACGGTTGAAGTGCAGGTGGAGACGTCAGGGTCTGCAGAACACCAGGATAGATGCTGTGGTGATGCAGCAGCTGCTTTCTGCATCAGATGCATGGCAGGAACACCCACAGAGCTGCCCCAGGCAGAGAGACGAACTGTGAAGCACGTTTACCTTTTTTGTGCTGGAGCCTTGGGTTTGACTCCCGTCTGATGTGATCCTACATTTTGGTGTAAAAATGAATTTTGATAAGTTGTTCAAAATGAGTGAAATGATTCTTGTAGTAGTACATTATATTATGTGTTAAAGAGTAGGGCTGGGCAATATGGCTAAAAATGTATCACAACAAAAGTGTTTCATATTATTAATTAGTTTTTTTTTGGTTTACCTAATTGAAATATTAACCAGGGGTAAAAAGGCTGATTAATGCTGCCAAACAGGTGAGGTGACATTCCCTCTTTTAGCCACAATTTCCTCTCGAGCTGTTGTATCATTTTCTCATTTCACTCCATGTTCTTTTATTTTGAAGCAGTTATGAGGCACGGTGGTGMAAAATGAAACTGCTGCTGCACACGTTACCAGCAGGTTAGCTTATCAAAGAGTGAGTGAGTTGATGCCACTAACCTTGCTYACTTGGGATGTGAGGTCGAGCAACTAAAGCCTTTCCTCTGCCTACATCCCCCAGAATGCCGTCTGGTTCTGGACTGGAGTTCATTGAAATGATCAACATTCTATCAAATGTATTTTCTATTCATATTAATCATGTGTTTATTGCGATATATATTATTGTTTTATGATACAGCCCTAGTAAAGAGTGTTGAGTTTGTTTGTGTGACATTACTTGTGAACCATTAAAGCGCCTTTTAACCGTTTCATTTTCATTGTTTTGTCTTCTACTCATCCTGTGGTGAAGTAGGAAGAAAATTGTTTGTAATGATGAATACTTAAATAACATTTTATTAACAAAGTAAAAACAATCAGACAGTACAAAATATATGAAAACTTCAGGGTGAAAATGACCAAATAAACATACAAGTCTTAAAAAATATCTCACTTCCTCAGACTGTCCGGACCTCCATCACCTCTTTGTTTACAGGTATTGGATGTTGTATTGTTTAGATGTAGAGGACACCTGTCCCTTCTGGGTCTGTCGTTAAGCTGGAAGCACGAAAAAAATCAAGTGTTAAATCAATCCAGCAGGACATTACTTGTACCTCTGCCAGAGAAAAGAAGAAATAGCACTTTTTTTTTTCAAATAAATTGAGTCAATTTGGGGAGAATGTGATCAGGCAGTTACTAGGGGTGTAAGAAAATATCGATACACTGAAATATCGCGATATTTCATTTCCCGATACTGTATCGATATTCTAAAGCCCTGTATCGATTTTTTATTAAGGTTTAAAATGTCAACTTTCCTGCCAGCCGTTCATTTTTATGTTGTAGTTCAGCCTCTGACCACTAGTTGGCAGCAGTGAGCCAGCCATTTGGCTCGGCCATTGTTAAGTGCTGGGTGACCATATTGTAAATTAATATTAAAAACTAAAAGCTGCAAAAATATATTTTCAAACTATTTATTGKCAAATTTAGTCTAATAATTGAAAACATGGATGAAATAAGAAACATGAAACAAATAAAATAAAACACATACAAAGCAGAACACAGCTAAATGTATCAAAAGTATGTCTATGTAATATTAGAATTTTCTGAGACAATGAATTTTTTTTTTTTTTCCCTGTAAGAGGTTTTTATTTAATAGAATTTTTGGACAAAAAAATCTCAATATATCGGGATATATCGTATCGTGACCCCTCTGTCATGATATGTATCGTATAGCCAAATTCTTGCCAAAACACAGCCCTAGCAGTTACTTTACAGCACTGCTGAATGTTTATATGATAAGAAAAGTTGATATAAACTGTAGAAACATCAGCTACACAAAAAAAGTTTCACTTTTATTATTGATAGTTTCATTTATTAGCATGAGCATGCTAATTAGATTATTAGAGCGTACAGAAACAGAACTGTTAAATAAATACATGCTTCTTTATAAAAGGAGATATTGACATATCAACCATCACTCTTTGATCTCGGTTTGAGCTTTTGTTTGGCCTTTTTTTTTTAATCTAACTCGGATCTAATCTACCAAAGCAAAACCTGTTTACGTTGAGATTTTCTTCTTCTTCTTTATTTTTTATTTTTGTTTAATCTGGTTTCCTCCACAAGATTTTCACACTTGTTAGTGAGCTTTGAAGGCCCTGTTTATACATCAACTGTCTCTGGAAACCTTAAGTTTTTTTCAACATTTGTGGCAAATAAAAGTGAAAAAAAAAGAAAAAAGAAAAGCACATTTACATGCATAGTGTTTTGCTCCTTGAATTCACTGTAGCCAGGCAGCATTGCCAGATAAGACTGTCATTTTAAAAGTGGTTGTATTTTGACCCAATCTATCATATACGCTAAGTGAGGGGAGGTTGTAAGATAACGTGTGAGCTGTGATTGGTCAACATCTGCTCACCAGCTCTACCGTTGTTACTGTCGTTCATATCCTCGCACAAGTGCAGGATAGTTGTAGTTACTGTAGTTGTTGTTTTGTACACAAACCGAACCACTCAAAGTTGGCGTCATGTGAACTGGGTCCCAAGTGTTGGAGCCCGACACCGGGACGCACATTAGTCGATGGCAGCGATTGTCGAATAACGCCAATCGTGGGCAGACTTCAGTGACCGCACAACAAGACTGGAATTCAGGTCTAATTTGACCTCAGATGAATCCGAGCTTGTATTTAAGCGCGCTGACTGTGAGATTCATTAATCATCTTTGCTGCCCTGTCAGTGCAGCAGACGTGTGAATGAGGGGAGGGGACAAACAACAACAACTGTGCAACAGTTTATGTGCACCGGTGTGAAATCTCCATGTTTATGTTGTCGTTTTTGTCTGAGCCGTTGGGAGGATTAGGCTGTGCTGTGGCCTAAACAGCATGGTTTAAAGCAACATGTGGAGAGCACTCTGTTGCAGTCGCTCCCCGCTTTGCAGCAGAAGTGTTGAAGTCGAGTCTTGTTCAATGTTTCCACCTCACAGCTACAGTTAGCATGCCAGCTATTGAAGTCGTCTCCTCCAAAAGTAGCTCTAAGAAATGAAAACCATGATGAAGTTGTACACGTTTCTCTTCTCCGTGCAGTAGTTGGTTGCTTTGTGATTTTTGGGAACAAATGGCCCACTTGTGATCCATTACCTAAAGTGAAGCACAGAATTTAGGTTGCGCCTCTTTGCCAGCACACACCCTGCTTTTAGTGCCTTCCAGCTCYCAGTTGGGACTTGAAGTTCTGTAGATGTTTATCATCTTGACATCATAGCAGCTCCAATATCTGGAGTCTTGCAGGGCTTCTACTAAACTAGAGGACATTCTGAGTAAGTAATTGATTATTTGAATCAGGTGTGTTGAAGCAGAGAAACAGCTAAAAGCTGCAGGACAGTGGGTCACAAGGAACAAAGTTGAAGACCTCTGTTTGACAGCATACTGGATCAACGTTAGACAAATGGACATTAGTTAGTTTCTCTCATCAAGGAACATGTTGGCTCTCCTGATTGAGCTAAATATGATGTCTCAGGCAATGCTGAGTAATGCTCAGACTGGTAGACGGTGGTATAAAAAAATTCCTGTTCTGTTTTTCAGCTCACTGCCAGCAGTGTCGAATCCAGCGTTGCAATGCGGAATATGTTGCATCTACCTCACCAGTGAGTGGTCTACAGGAGGACGCGGCTGTGGACGTGGACTACTGCACTGCCCTGCGGGCCTACGACCTCTGCACACGGAGACAGGCACGCGGTTGCAGGGGGGACCTGGTTTACCACTCCGCAGTTTTCCGCATCAAGGAGCTGTTCTCGCAGCACAACTGCTCCAGCGACGGACCCACCTCCCCGGACAGGAGGCGCTCGGGGTCCAGCACGTCCAGGCCGGCGGTGCCGGAGCTCTGCAACTACGAGAGCCGGGTCCTCGTGTCGGGCTCGGCCGGTCAGCAGCAGAAGTACGCCCACTGTGGATTATTTGGCGACCCGCACCTACGGACGTTTCGAGACGAGTTTCAGACCTGCAAGGTTGAAGGGGCGTGGCCTCTGATCGATAACCGCTTTCTGTCAGTGCAGGTGACCAACGTCCCTGTTGTCCTGGGCTCCAGCGCAACAGCAACCAGCAAGGTAAGACTGAGTCAGAGCGGGAAAAGTCCAGAGAAGTCCTCAGTCCACCAATGATCACATCTGTTCATATTCTTATACGAGAAAGTCAAACAAACAAGCAGACTGGAGCAAAAATAATCGTGTTCATTTAATGTCCAATAAGTGGAAATCTTGAGCTGCAGCCACATACGAACAGAAACAGTACATTTGAAACAAATGACCTAAACAAACGGACACTTTAAGTGCTAGCACGCTAGCTCACACACTCCAATTAATGCCACGAAGAATCAAACGTGAAGCTCATTGTGGTTCCACAGAKCCTCTCTGCTCTCCAGCATTCCTCGTGTCTTGCAGCTCCTTCAGATCTGTGGGAGGGCGGGGCGGGTGGGGGTGGTGATGGCCTTCGTTGGTGTTGAATCACAGACATGCATGAGTGCTCTACCTTTAACACATGGGTGGTCATATGGTAGTGATTAACGCTYGCTCAGAAATTCTCCCCCCACCGCYATGATGTGGAATGTTTTTTCACCCCTCTGGTCAAATAATTAACTCGGTGCTTTTTGTGTAAATATGGAATCATTTGGAAAAATWAAGAAATAATTGGCCAGCAGGGAGGACTTTTTTTTTTTTTTTTGGTATTAAATAAGATTTCAGAACCAGAATTTTTGAGTCATTGAAATTTTGAAAGTTGTTTTGAGAAAAACGAGTTCTTTTAGTTTCCTAAACATGCTGATTAAATTTACACGTAAAGTAACATATTTTTAAATGTACATTAAGGACTTCAGAGCCACRTTTCCTGTTCAGTCTGTTTAAAACCTGATGTCCCACCATGCTTTTTCATTGCCAGACCACAACAGTATTTCTTAAAAGTGTAAATCATATTTGAAATGACCCTTTTGTCRAGCTATAGACAAAGAAGTTGTCTCAAACTTTAAAATCTTGTGCTAAAGAAGTAAAGCACCATGAAGAAACCTTTTTAAGGAACAAATTAGATGACATATTATAGATTTTCTTTAAACAAAAAAAATCAAAGAAACTCTTACAAAACCTGCAAACAGTGATTATCCGCAGAGCTGTACCACTGTGCCCATTTTAAGTTTTCTGCTGCCACCTGGTGGCTTTTTGATGTATTACACATTTAAGAATACTTATCACATATTTAATACTTTCTGTTGTATTTTTTAAAATAATGTTTCATGTAGAAAACTGTTAGATTTTTAAAATTTCTTCTCTTGTTGTAGGTTACCGTTATCTTCAAGACATATCATGGTTGTACAGAACAAAAGGTTTACCAGGCCACCACCGAAGACCTGCCGCTGGCTTTTCAGGACGGGACTCGGAGCGGCGGCGAGAGCGGCAGCCTGACCATCGCCGAGCGCGGCGGCGGCTCGGGCGTGGGTCGCCACGTGAAGATTCAGGCCCGCTACATCGGCGTCTCCGTCATCATCAGGCGCGTGGGCAGCTACCTGACCTTCGCCATCCGCATGCCCGAGGCCACGCTGGACTTCTCGGAAGACGGCGGCGGCCTGCAGCTGTGCCTGCACGGCTGCCCCCGCAACGAGCTCATCAAAGAGCACACGCTGAGCCGCCAGAGCCTGCAGCCGCACCCGCAGGGCCCAAACAGGGAGCTCGGGCCGCTGCGGCCGCCTCACCAGGTCTACACGGTGGAGAGGGCGACAGCCAAGTGTAGAGAGACTCTGCAGGTGGAAGACGTTTACTTCCAGTCTTGCGTGTTTGACTTGCTGACGACGGGAGACCCGGAGTTTTCCATGGCAGCCTACGGCGCTCTGGAGGACTTGAAGGCGCTGCCACCCAGTAAACTGAAACAAGACTCCCCACGGAGTCGTCCGGTTTTTAACGGAGGTGAAACACAGACGCTGGCTGCGACAGGAGCCAACAACTCCCTGCTCTCACTCCTCCTCCTCCTCATTCTGCTGCTGTAAAAMTACAGCAAATTAACAAAAAGGAATATGAACACAAGGCATGGAAGCATTACCAGCTTGATGAAAGAGTGACTAGAGCACCAGCGCTGTAGCAATAGTTTTATTTCTTCATTAATGTACGGGARCAACAAAGACTTTCTGCTTTTCTCATCTGAAGGATTTCACCCTAAAACTTTAGAAATGATGTTTGACTGCGTGGAGTTTTTTGGTGCATTTCATTAAAAAAAAAGTGAGATCTAAAACAAAATACTGACTTCAAGTGAAAAGTGAAAAATCATACCCAGAGTTTATCTGAACTTTTCTGTTTTTATTTAAAGTGTGTAAAATCACTAAACACTCCAGACTGAATGAAGTTGGATATCATGTCACACAGTATGACAGTATCTAAGCTTTTTTTTTTTTAAATTTAGAGTATTAAGGCTTCTGTATCATGTCTCAGTATCAAAAGCACTTAACAGTTTTAGCAGCATGTTGTGTGTATAATGATCTTTTGTGTGTMTTTTCTCAAACTGGCATACTGACTCCACAGGATCCAACAACTGTATGTGAAAACTACCTATGTGTCATCAGTTCTCATTGTTTTGTATGTAAAAACACTCCCTCTTCAAGCTGCCCGGCTTCCAGTTTTAAACATTAAAAAAAATCTTGAAAGCATTGATATAATAATATATTGAAAGAGTGTATATATGTGTTTTATATTGTGTAAATAAGCCTGTGTATAGATGTTTTAACTGTAATGTGTTTGTTTAGTTGGTTATTTTGAGTCATTGTAAGAAAAGTCAACTAATATGTGTTGTGCTGTATTTCTAATTTTCTGTATTAAAGTGGTGAACACCATGTTCTTCACCGTTTCTTTGGCAGCTTTTGTGACTGAACATCTATTCTGGTCTTACAACAGTAAATATTTTTGCAGGAGGCTGGTTTAGTTAGTTATTTTTACACAATTTATACTGTTTAAAGACAAATGCGTTTATTTACGGTAAGCATATTAAGTTGTACAGTTTGGTTCTCTGTCTTAGCTTTGCCTGGATTAGTGTTGAAACTAAACTTGTCACTTGCTGCGGCAGGTGGAGATTTCTTGCAGAATTTAAAAAAAAAAACAATATTTGCTGGTCCAGCATAAAATCATGAGCACTCTTGCAAAGCATCTTGTGTCCTGCTGGTGTCCTCAGTCTGTAAAACCTAACTGTCCACAGCAGGGTTTCCCTACTATTACCCAAGGAGGGCGCCCTTCCCTCCACCTGTGGACATGTTTGCATGTGACCAATCGTGTGTGGCTGGGGAAACACTGAAGCCAACACCCTCAACTTCCATGGTGACGATTTTGTATCTAAAATCTAACTCTATAATAAATGCTAAGGCGTCCCGGGAGTCATCATTACACACACGTCTGACATGTGACCAAACTTACAGTTGTCTTCAAGTGTTTGTAGTTTCATCATAAATCTGCAAATTTCAGTGTTAAGAAATACTTGTGCTATGTTATTTAAAATAACCATTTGAAATAAAAATGTTTTATCACAGTAACTGATGTTCACATTGAGGATTATGTTTGAGAATTCTGACTTCTTGTTGCTAAAAGAACTTGAACATTAAAAACTGGTAAAATACCAGACAAATAAAACTGACAGAATCAATGTAAAAATTATATTTTATGTTTTTAGATGTATTGAACTACTGGTGCATGTATTCAAAAGTGCTGCGACCATCCACCCCAAATACACACACACACGTTTTTTCTGTCCTCGTGGGGACTTTACTTTGACTTACAATAATTTTTCGAACATTTCTATAGCTTTATCCCCACCACGGCTCCAAAAAAAAAAAAAAAAAAAAAAAACAGCTTGGAGTAAACAACACCAAAACTCGCTCACAGTGAGATTTACAACACACATACATGAGTGAGTACTCAGACTGGAGCGAGAAACAGAGGCTGTGAACAGTTTTAATTTCCAATGAAAATGCTATTAAAGCCTGAAGCCACTACTTATGAAGACATTAAGAATTAATGCTCCATAACCAGCTGAGTGGATGTAATTTATATCTGGGACTGAGTTAAAGGTAACCTGATTCAAACCGTTCTCTTGATTGACAGCATGTGGTTTCTTCCTCTTGGTTCCAGTCAAGGACAACGTGACGGAGAGCTGCAGGATGTGGGGAGACACACTATAAAAGGTGACTTTTTAAAAAACTCTTTCACCGTATAAGGTCTGTCTCTCTTCTGGGTGACTCCATCACTTCAAGAGCAGGAAGTCCGATGAAGATTGAAGGGGACTGAGATGACCGTGGAAGGGAGGTAGAAGCTGTCACAGTTGTTGCTTTGGGCATGAAATTAATTACCATAGGTGCAAACTTAAAATTTTTGAACTCTTTTCAGGCCAAACCTTATGTTCCTCTGCATTTCAGAGTTAATTGTTGTTCTTAGATGAGTTACATATTTGAATGTCTTTGCCTTGTTACTTCATATCTAGATTTGGAAACATAGAGCACCAAATTTAACATTGTACAAAGTTTGTGACAGGCCTGATTATTGTCTTTATTTAGTCAATGCTGCCTAATTTAGTATGATCACATGGTAGGTGGTGATATAATGATCAAGTGATATAATTTTCCTCATGAGAAATGCCTAAAACTAAAACTAAAAAAAAAAAAAACTTTTAACTTTATTAATATACAAGAAAGAAATGATTGAAATTTCAGAGCTCACAAGAAGAAATGCTCCAAACCAATAAGTTCCTCATTAAAATGATCAAAATCTAATAAATTATTGGTTTGTTTGTTACTCTGTAAGCCTTTGATGTTAGGCCAGTCCCTGAGGTAAAACCACAAAACCAAACTTTTGGAAATACTCTACGAACTAGATTCT